ACTGACTGGACGCTTGGCTTTTCTCCCCTTAAAAATGAATTAAGCCATAATAATTTTCATATGCATATTTATATATATTAATTGTGAATGGCAATTGTCATTTACTATAAAAGGATATTTATATTAAAAATATCATTAAGTAAGTTGAAGATAAGTTATACAGAATTCACATCAATGCAGAACGTCTACCCAGTCTATTGGCATTGCATCTTAATCTATGGGTTGAATGGTTTGTTAAGTGGCTGCCATTTTATTTTAACATACGGACCTTAAGTTTAAATTTCAATTATCCATTCTTGTCTGGCTACATCTCATCACTTAATTTAATTTTTCATAATTTACCCATATATGATTGATTGATCATTATCATGTTCATACTGTTTATTATATTCTGTTTCTCTAGTTACACTTTTTTTTTCAGTTAGCCATGATATAGGCCTATAACTAAGATATAGGCTGAAACATAATAAAATGAGACTTCTTATTTCTGTGTAGTTTTTATGATCACCGAAACTACAGCTAACTTTTCCCCTACTAGTTGATCATATATTTATTTATTTATATCAGAAGAAATAAACAATTTTAACAAACAATAAAAACAAAAAAGTTGATCATATATATATATATATATATATATATATATATATAATTGTGGATTGATGGTTACCTGTAGTGAATAATTGAAGAGAAGGATGGTTGGGGTGATCAGTCAAAATAAAAAATAGCAAAAATAAATAATAATATCTATTTTCACACTTGCCGACGTTTCGGCCCGAAGTTCAGACCTTCATCAGTGCTAAGAAAATAACCAGATAACAATAAGTTTGAGAAAATATAAACATTGAATAATAAAGAATTAGAATAAAAAAAGGTGAAAGATATAGATTAAAAAATTTAGGTAATAAAAAAAAGTAAAATGAAATAAATAGAATGAACATTAAAGCAAAATAATGTAGGTAGAATAATAACATAATTAGAGAACTAAGAAATAAATAATATTACCAGCAACAAAGCACGGACCAATGAAATAAACATAATCAAAATAAAGTAACATAAGAAATGAAAAATAGTAATCTTAGAATAAAATGTAAAGCAGAAAAAAGGAATATGAAATAATATAAGGAAATAATTGATATAAATAAAAAATTAAGATATTGTAAAATCTATTAAAAATACTGACTGCATATAAGAGAATAAAAAGTTAAAATAACGTAAAAAAAATGAATGAGCAAATGTGTCAATATATACAAAATAGAGCCGGTGATATGGAAAATAGAGTGACGGGAAGGAGCAAAAAACTAAGATAAGAAAGATAAATAAAATAGAAAAAAAAGAAAAACGTATATATTTTTAATGCCGAAACGTCGGGGAAGGTAAAAAATAAATATTATTATTTATTTTGCTATTTTTTATTTTCACTGATCTTCCCAACCATCCTTCTATTCAATAAATATATATAATGTAATACATTCTGTGTTTTTAATATGATTATTTTTGTTTTATATATATTTTCTTAATTAAAAATCGTTTTATTGGAATAATAATAATAATAATACAATCTGTCACAATCAATGGTATTGGGCATTAAGGCTCTATGTGCACATTCCATATCAATACTTATATATTAACTTCTCATTGGATTTTACATGTAACAATGATTCTGTATTTATTCGAATGTATACCGTACAAATATTGTGTTTAATATAGGGTATGAATTATGTATAGATGGAACAGGAAAATAAAGGACGGAAATAAATCATGGCTTTATGGGACTACGATAAAGAGGATAAACACAAAAGAAAAATATATATAAATTTTCACGGACTGGTATATTCCGCTTGCGATATTCTTTATCTGATTCAGAATAAAGAAAAAAAACATTGGATGACGATCTTTGACCAGGTTAAAATTGAAAGAAAATTTTCTCCCTTTCAAACAGAAATGCTGAGCAGTGATTTCTCTTATATTTCAAAGTTACCTCAACGATTAGAAATAGCGCCATTCTCAGAATATCCTCGCTCCTATTCAAGTTCCCTTCAAATAAACGATTATCTTTTTCCTTTCGAAGAAATCTTCTTCATAGAACTTTCATCCGGCAGGTGAGACACGATTTTTAATTCGGTATCTCTAAAAACTTTGAACTTATTTTCAAAGCTTTGAAGGATTTTTTTTTTTTTTTTTTGTTTGGGGCGGGGGGATTTTTTCATAAAACATTATTATCATTATTTTTGAATAATTTACTTTAAACTATCAAAGAACTAGAGCTTTTATGTGGTATCTTAGCAGAGATACTATCAAGCTCCGTGCTAGGCTATTTATAGTTATCAACCTCATTTAGAGAAGAAATATCAAGATGGATCATCTTATTAATTAATTAATATTTAATTAAATAGTTATTAATTTTAATAAATTGGTGCAGATAACTGAAACAAATCACAACGTAAAACAGATATGTATATGAAATATTCTGCTTTGTTATGTTGGAAATTGCGTATGTTGAGTTCTCAAAGGAGATTAAAATAGAAGCAGAGGTCGGTCAAGATATCCTTTGCACGCCATTCCCTTTTAGCTCCATGGATAGCTACCTTTCTCCTACATACACTCAACCTGTCACAAATGTTGCAGTTATAATATTATCTCAAAACTTAAAAGGTCATTAGCAAATTGTCATTGCACTCTCGTGCAGAAATGCCAGATTTTGAATAACTTACAAATTGTAATCTAAATAAACAATTATATTTTTAAACAATATTTTTTTTCTCATTGTAGATCCCTTTCCCGGATCCCTGAAACGTTAGATTTTGATGAATAAGGTATCGAACTAAAGGGGATTTAATCGAGAAGTGATGAATTGTAGTCACATCCTTCCGAAATTTCAGGGAAAAGGTTCGGAAGAAAAAGAAATTTCATTTTCAAATAACTCAGAAAGTATAAATATTTTGTTAGTTTCACCCATGATAATTTAAAATATTTTCCTAAAAAAATTTAAATCTATTAGATATATGTACAATTGAATCAATTTGTACCGACTGAAGGTGCAAAGTGAGTTCAAATATTTTTTTAATGAGAAATAGAGTTGAGATTTGTGTTTCGCACCTAGACATTTTTTCATATTTATTGGAAATTTATAGTTATTTCTTCCTAATATTGATAAATCTTCAAATGAGCATGAATATGATCTTGTTAAAATTCGAATAAAAAATTGTGCAGAAATTTTAACGCTTAACGAACGAAAAAGAAAAATGGGTTGTCCATTTGCTATGATAAATGAACTGATTGTTAAATGCAGGCCTTTTTAAATGAGCTTTTTGATTATTTAATTTCGTAAGTACGGTCGATTGTATTATTCTGTGAGGTTAAAAAAATGTTGTCCTCAGATTCATAAATGTTTAATCTTATTTTACGTTTTACACATCAGAAAATAAATTTGAATACTTTCGTCAGTAATGACATCATACATGAGCATACCACTAACTACCATAAATCCGATTTTTATTAATTATCTGAGATTTTCCGGATGGTCCCATATCAATTTCAGCAAATAGTAATTAAAATTGAAGTAACTAATTGTCAATATTGTATTGCCTGTGTAATTTAGGTAATTAACTTATCGTCGGTTTATTGAAAAAAGTTACGGCGTTAATTTTGATCAAACTGAAGCTTTTGACGTTTTTATGAATATAAATCTTTATTGATATAAGTTACACATATTTCTGACATGAATAAATTTGCTATCTACTACTGTATATGGCAAATATGATATCAAGGAGAACAAAACAGAACAAAAAATAGAACGAAATAACAAAAAATAAGTGTAAAATAAAAATAAGATAACAGAAAAGCAGAAGATAACACAGCAAACAGTTGAATGCAGTAAGTCTCTTGACCGACACCTCAGCAGTTGTCTGGGCGGATTATATAGATTTGTAGCAGTAGATAAAGTTTAGTAACTGGGTTTGAATTTAGAATCTGTCTGTCATGAAAATTATTATTTTTATATTTGATGTCTTTGATGCCATGTCCAAAGTGGTTTAATGAGGACTTTGTAAATAGTTACTTTATTAGTCACCGATAATCCCTGCCGAATATCCCTAGAAAGAAGTCCGTATCGCTGATTAAGTTCTTTTCTTTTTTTCTTTTATGTGTTACGTCCATGTCCGCCGTATTTTTTTATAACAATACATTTAGTAAAGTTTTTATTTAAATTTTATACATAACTTGTTGATTGTTATTTTTCTACTGTCCATTTTTTTTTCTTTTTTTGGTACATATAGTGTGAATGAGGTCTTATCCATTCACTAATAAGTAAGACAAACAACCATAGTCTGACTAATTCAATGACCATTGCCCAAGTAACGGAATGTTATATTATTCAATAAGTAAATTTAAAAACTGACAATAATGTCGAGTTTTTTAATATAAATAATGCTAATATCTATTTATATTGGCAATGACGGTGGGACAACTGCGCACCTAGCAAATTAAAGACAATAAGGAAAGAGATGAAACCGTGGAGCAGCTCTAAACGCAACAGTCGTAGAAAAGGCTGAGGATCGGACATACTAGACTGACACACCGCCACCTCATAACAAAAGATCATATCTCCAGATGTAAAAAGTGTGACCAGTCATTAACCATATAACATATTTTGGAAGAGTACCCTTTTAACACCGCAAGGTTAAAAGATCTCGGAATACCCCAGAATATATCAACATCTCTGTGAAACCAAGAGAAATCCTCACCAAAGTAATGAAGTTCCTAAACAATGAAAAAATTTTGAAACATATGACAAATTTATAACTAATGATCCTTTGCAGATTTATTTATTTTTAAAAGTTCATTGATTTATTAATTTCACTTCATTTCTTGATTTTATGGTTTTTTTTTATACCAACCTCCTGAACAGTATAAAAATAGTGTTATATAGTTGATCGGGCGCTGATGACCTGGATGTTTTGCGCCTAGATATCGAAACAAACAATCAATTTATATTTTTGCAGGGGCGCCTATCGTACTGACGTTGCCACACTTCTATGAAACAGACCCGAGCTACCTTGAGACTGTAGAAGGGCTGCATCCAGAAAAGGAAAAGCATCAGATTTTCTTGAACTTTGAACCAGTGAGAACTAAACTTTTCTTTAGTATTTTCAGTATTTAAGTTTTCATATATTTCTGATCATTTATAAATGGTTATTATTCGTGTTTAAGATGACTGGAACCCCGCTAGGAGCGCGGAAGCGACTACAGTTCAACATCCCGATCCACGCGATCAAGAAGGTGGCACTGATGAAGGAATTACCGGACGCCCTTGTACCACTCTTTTGGGTTGAAGAGGTATCATTTTATTCACCTTATTGCACACAACTTAGTCTTTATTCTTGTTATTATTTGAAGAGATTTATTTGTGTTAACTTAAATTTTAAAAACTATACTCCAGTAAAAACGCGACAGCAGTGAATCAGTGATGCTATAACTGCTAAATATATATATATATCTTTCACCATTCTGAAACTTACTGAGGACTCCACTTAACTATTTATTAAGGATATCTACCCGCACTGAGCAACTTCTGTGTACGTGGTGTAAGTGAATGAAAGGAATTAGTGAGGGTAAACCATTCATCACTGAAAATGGCTAAATGGTAGAGTATCTAACATATAACATATACTATAACATAATGCATCATTTATTATATTACCCTCGCCAAAATCCGTATTGCAGTAAGGTAAGGTAGGATGCAACAAAATAAATAAAAATGTCGACCTCTTCCAAAATCCATATTTAAGAAAGGATGAAAATGTATAAATAAATAGTTTACATATAATTAGGGATATATTGAGCCTATGGTGGTAATTGGAAACAAGAACGCTGAGTATAGACTTTATCTGAGTTCCATTTCACAGAGGTATCATGAGCAATGAAAGAGTAAGGAAGAGAAAAGTATGATATCTGCAATAAATCATTGCAGCAGGAGATTGTGTATACTAGTAAAAAAATTGTATTAGATAATTGGGAGAAAAATGAAACATGAAATAGTCAATTATTATAAATAAAAACTGAGTGAATCAAATAGGCTCCAAGCATTAGAAAATCCAGAAGAGAGGAAATCTTAATTTGCTGAATACGGATTAATCACTGCCAGTATACTCACTGATACCTTCTCAGAGTGTGTCAATAGACCACGGTCAGTGGAACACGTATTAGTAGAGTGCTATCAGTTCAAAATAAAAAACTAAGGCCTGTAATTTTGATCGCACGATAGAAGTGAAAACATCAAGGCGAGATCAATAATATGAAATAAAAATTATAAATAATAGCTTATTATAAAGAACATGAAATGCTGAACATTACCCTCCCTTACAGTATTCAGGTCAGGTTTTTATTTCCTGAGATATTTTAATCGATATTTTTCATACAACTCCTTATCATTTGGTTTTCGACACTACTTTTCCATTTTCGCATCTATAACGGCATCGCGTTAAGATACAATTATGAATAATATCCTATTACGGAGAGAATGTAATGCTGAACGATTCACTCGCTTACAGTATGCAGGTCCGTTATTTTTAGTTTTTGAGATATTTTAATCCATGTGCAAGAACACTTCTATTAGTCGAATCCAGCCTACTTTACCCGAGCGTTACACATCGGAGATCTGACGGCTCAACCTAATTCATTCTCCACAAAAAAAAAAGAAAAAACGAGCCTAAAGTAAAAGGCAGTGAAAGATATCTGAATATATCGAGTTTAATAAGATCTGAAAATATTGAGAGGTAGTGATCCTGGAGTCGCTTGTTTAACCCCATTACACTTCTTAAATAATAACTTAGTTTAGTTATTTGCTTCAAAGAGGAAACACGACTGTGTTATGGCACATGGAAGGTGTTCTTGACCAGCGCACTGTGTAGTGTTGGTTTGAAAATTTAGCAGTGAAGATACGACGTTGGAAAGGAAGAAGATCTCAGGGCGACCATTAATGAATATTGATGGGGTTCTTCAGGTAGCTGTTGAGTCAAATTCCTCCACAAGTATTAGCGAACTTGCCAGGAAGTGTGGTGTGTCGAAGATACTGTTAGTCGCCGCCTACTCCATAGGGAAGGTGAAAAAGAGCAGTATACTGGTCCCTCACGAACTTACTTCTAACTTCTCAGCTAAGATGTTAGAAATTTGTCAAAATTCATTGAAAAAATCCTTCTGATATGAGATTTTACCGGAAGATTGTCACCTGTGATGAAAATCTGAATACCCTTGACCTTCCGCTATATCGCGATCGAACTGCTTTTCCGGTTGCTGCAAGGAAGCAATTTGAAAAAAAAAATCCATGCTTCGCCTTTTTTTGGCATTTTTAAAGGTGTTATTAATCACGAGTTTGTTCCTGATGGATGCTCTGTGAATTCTGAAATCTACTACAAATAACTGGAAAGATTGTACACAAAATTGTCAGAGCGTTATCCTGCTTTGGTCAACCGAAAAGGAATTTTATTCCAACAGAATAATGCACTTCCTTACACTTCACGTCAAACCAAAGAAAAGTTTAAAGAACTTTATGGGATCGAACTCCAACCTCATTCACTATATACTCCCGACCTTGCACCATCGGATCACTACTTATTTAGATCCATGGTCCATTTCCTTAAGGGAAAAATATGATAATTTGGTTGAAATTGCGGTTCAAGAGTTCTTTGACAGCCATTGCAAGGAATGGTATCAGCATGGGATTGAGCAATTGGCTATCAGATGGCTAATGAGGGTAGGTAACAATGTACTGTACTTTGAGTATTAATTGTATTTTATATTATAGAAATGATAATTCAAATATTTGGTTGAAAAATGGTCATTTTTTTATACACCCTATTATTTGTAACAGATGCAAATGAATAGTTTAATAGTTAAAAGGAAAACTTTAAGTAGATATATTAATTTAAAATAATAACTTTTGTGCCAAATTGATTAGAATGCATTTATTTTTCCAGGGCCTGGAGCTAGACCAAAAGTTCATTGACCTCCTGGACTCTCAGTTATTCATGGCTTTGAGGATCGTCGGAGTCAGCAAGTGGGTGATCATAGTCCTCGGCCTGGCCATGATCGGGGGAGGCGTAGGCCTCCACTACTACAGGAAGGACAAGATGCCCTCCACGGTCACCAAAGTATCCCCGCCTCCCGAAAAGTTTTAGCTGGCGGTTCTGGCCTTCGTCATTTAAGCATATTACCTTGAAATGTTGCTCAGGCTGATGAATCCTTCGTTACCAGTCACAACATGATTTATATTTTTTAATATTCTTCAGATGACTATTAATTCAATCAGTCACCGATAGAATATAATAAATAGACATCTTGTGGTATACAAGTCTTTGAAAAATAAGAAAAAAGTTTACAAAATACAAAACATTTTTACTCTATCAAATGTTAAAATTTCAACAATGCAAATAGTTGATCCATAATATTTTGTTTAAACAGCAAGTAAGTGAAAATATGTCGGAGCCTTAACAACCGGTGTTTGTAAAACCATCTTAGCTAAAACCATTTAATGCATTTTTTTCACGAATCAATATCTCGGAAAAAAATCAAAAGCACGTAATTTATTTCCTTACTTATTTTCTATTTGCTATTTAAACTACATTGCATTAAATAAAATTATCTTCAATTTAGTAAAAGTTGAATTAAAATACAATTGGCGATATTTATTAAACAGGAGGTAATGATTGTTAAGTAATAGTCGAATTCCATATTAAAAATCTTAAATATATATATATATATATATATATATATTATATTTTGAAATAGCTATAAAAATTCACTAATTCAAATTTTACCAGAACTAAACCACAGCTTTAGAAAATTGATATTCCAAAACAGTAAATATTATATTATATATATATATATATATATATATATATATATATATATATATATATATATGTGTGTGTATATATATATATATATATATATATATATATATATATATATATATATATATATACATATATATATAATTATTTTTAAGCAATAATATTTACTGTTCTGGAAAACCAATTTTCAAAAGTTGTGGTTTAATTCTGGTAAAATTTGAATTAGTAAATGTTTAGGTTTATAGCTATTTCAAAATATAATATTTTTCATTGATTATTTTTAAATTTTAAGTGTCTTGATCATTTACTATGAATAGAATTCCCACATAAGGTAGATTCTATGTACAATCGTTTTAATTAAAACTTTTCTGACGATTACTAATAATAATTATCAATTTGATATTATCGGACTAACCTAAACGTCGATGAGAAATATATATGATTAAATATTATGTCCCCTTGTAAAATAAAATAAAAAGTGTATCTTACTTAACGAGCGTACCTTGAAAATAATTATGTTATTAATTACTGGGAGTGTGCTGTTTTTATTTATTTTTAGTGTGACGATGTTGTAAATTAAAAGATTTTAAAGTTTTATTTTTCTATAAAAATAAATCTTTTATTAGATCATTGGTTTACTTATAAACAAGATTAGTTAAGAGTGTATTATGCCGTATTTGTTTTGATATAGATGTTTAAAAAAAATAAAAAGTTTATTTATTAATTATTTGATTTAATTTTTTTTTTAATTTTCCACCCTATCCTTTTTCTCTATTTAATGTATGAGTTTTATTAAAAACTAATTTTAATTACAGTAAAAGTTAATGTCACTATTTCTAATTAAATACGATATTGTACTTTGTATGCCTGTGTCGTTTAAAATTTTTATTTTACTTTATAATTACATTATATTTTCTATTTTATTTTTATTTTTTTCGGTGAGCATATAAAATAAAGTATAATGAACCTTAAGAGAGTAGAGTGTAAATGACTGTAGTGGTTGAAATACTTGAATCAATAAATACATAGGTCTTTAATGTATTTTTTTCTATTTTATATTGACCTTATATATTTTATATATTATATTTCTATGACTTAATTAATTTATTTATGTTTTTTTAAATGGTGTAAATATGCTCTCTGATCGCAATTATCATTGGTCTTATTTGATACCGAATATAACATCTCTCGATAAACAAATTTTAAAAAAAATTAAATAGACCCATGAAATAATCCTTAAAACTGCAGGCAATAAATAATAAGGATTACCATATGACTGAAGGAACGTTACTTTTTCTTTTTTGTTATTTATAAAGCGCGGATATGTAAAACATTTTGTTACTTTAATTTCCAATACCTAATGAATTATCATTTGGCCTTCCAAACTGAAAGAAGAAGTTTCCTGCATTTACTGCAGGAAGAAAACATTTGGAGTGACTGAATTATAAAAGTATCCTAAAACTGGGATGGAATTTTCACCCACCATTTGAGCAGCACTCCCCTTTTCTTGAGCTTAATAGAAACAATCTAGAATACAAGAAAAGATGTAAAAGGGAAAATTCTGAAGAAATAGGTGGAAAATATTCTACATCCAGGCTCTTACCGAATGTTTCTCGTATTCCAACTTCTCTTTCCATTTTCTACATCCTATAAAATATTTTATACCTTATGCGTATGTAAAATATTTTCAGTTAAGATACCTGATAGACAAACAGTTCTAGATGGACTGTTTTATTGGAAAGAAAACTCCATTTCCCTTACTATGTTGAGGATGCAGGATCGATTTCTTTTCTTTTAGGACAGGTCAATGAAGTATCTGCTTTAACTAACAAGATCTAAGCTGAGCCTTACAAATAAATAAAATAATAAAATAAAAACGCATTTACCACTTCAATCTATAAATGGTTTGGGCTCAGTACTTTGTCAGAAAGTATTGCTTGAAGGGCAACGGTTGTACAGGTGATCGCGCCAATATCTCGCTCAACCACCACGCTTTTCCTATTAATTAACTATTTAATTAAGAGTACCCACTTTATAAAGGCTTGCTGTGCCACAGGAGGATTTTCCGAATCGCATGTCGAATCACGGACTCGAACCTGAGACCTTGAGCTCAACTAGCTACTCCGCATGAGCAACAATTAGTTATATCAAAGACCCGTTGAGTGCCTGGAAAAATAAATAGGTAGCAAGGCTTCCTATCTATGAATATATTTACATTAAAGGCAATTTCTAATTTCAAATACATGAAAAGTGAATAAATAGAATTGTGGTTTTCATCCGAGAACCAGATAAGTTATTACTCACATTTTTTAGTTAAATAAGGCACAACGTAAGTCGACCATTAGGTAGGCTTTGAATAAATTGGTCAGAACCTTACCTGAATTTCAGAGGACGGGGTGGTCGAGCACTTTGGTACTTGGGCCCAGAGTGCCGGGTTCTAAACGTTGTGGGTTCGATTCCCACCTGGATCTGTTACTTTTCATTTCCAGGCTGCTCGGTAACTGGATCTTGACATTCCCACTTTGGTAAGTACGCGGCGGCAACCTCAAGGTATTCGTTGGAGGTTGGCAAAAAGTCTAGAATAGGGCCCAGTTGCCGATTTGTTCTCTCTACTAAGCACCAGTACCAGTATATTAATTTGGCTCAACGTTAGTTGCTATGCAAAGAAAAAAGTAGACCGTTCGTACCCGATTTTGGCACAAATTATTTAATAACCATGATTAAATAATGTAATTGTGGGGTCTTAAAGTAAAACGGATTTTTCTAATAGTTTTCATTTTTTTTTTACATCTATACTACTAAAGTCAAGAGTTTTACTAACAGCTAAGAAATATTTATGATATTTAAAAGTATAGAATTGTTTATCCTCTGTCTTGTTCTCTAGAGATAATGTCGATACATTAACATAGCAGATGGTTATCGATATCCAGGCATACACTGGAGAAGTAGTTGGAGGTGCCAAAGATTTTAAAATTTAAATATTAACGAGCAAGAAAACGAAGATAGAAAAATATGAAAAGAAATTTTATTTATTAGTTACACACATTCCTGGCTCACAATAAATTTACCATCTACTTCGGTATTCAGCAAATATGATATCAAGGATAATAAATGATAGCATAAAAAAATAAGAATAATAATAACAAAACTAAACAAAACAGAAAAGAAAAAAATATATAATAAGTCTCTTGGCCAGCGCCAGAGCAGTCTTCTGGGCGGATTATAAGGATTTGTGGCAATAGATAGAGCTTGAGTAAGTGGATTTGAATTTAGAGTCAGTCTGTCATGAAAGTTATTAAAGCGGTCTGTGGCAGTTGCCGTGATGAAAGGAGTGTTAAAGTCAGTGTGTAACGTAAGGTTTGAAACATAAAAGGGTGCGTCTACAATTTTCAGGACTTTTGACTGAAATGGCTGGATGATTTTTATATTTGATGTCTTTGCTGTTCTCCATAGTTCGATTCCATATGTCCAAAGTGGTTTAATGAGGACTTTGTAAATAGTTAATTATTTAAATATTAGTCACGAATAATTTAGAACGTCTGTCAAGTAGCCTAGAAAGAAGTCCGTATCGCTGATTAAGCTCTTTTCTTTTTTGTTTTATGTGGTATGTCCATGTCAGTCGTTTGTCCAAGTAGAGGCCCGAATATCGTACAGTTTTTGAAGGTGGTAGAGCAATATTATTAAAGAACACTGGAGGACAAGAGTCATGTCTAAGTATAAATAGAACAAATTGGCTCTTAGACATTTTTATTCTCCACCTTTTAGCCCACCAAGCTAAGTCATCTAGGTGTTCTTGAAGTACCTGAGAAGCCTTAGCTGCATCCTTGTTAGATATTAATATTGCCGAGTCGTCAGCAAATGTAGCCAACAGTGTTTCTGAATGTTGTGGGATGTCTGAACAGTAAATGTTGAAAAGTTTTGGGCCCAATACGCTGCCTAGAGGTACTCCAGCTTTTATTTGTTTTATGGCAGAAAAGTCCCCATTTTCAAGCGGAAAAATCTTTCTTTTAGATATGACAGTAAGATTAAGTAATACGTCAGAGGAATAATCGTTTTTAATTTATGTAATAAACCATCGTGCCATATTGTATCAAAGTCAAGAAAAACGCCAGGGCAGTAAAATTTTGATTCTAGCCAAAAAGATATGTAGTCTACTAGGCGGTAACATGGCTGAATAGTCGAATGATGCTGTTTGAACCCGTACTGGAAATTTGGAACGATATCAAATAGTCTAAGTTAATTTAAACGCCGAAACAGAACTTTTTCGAATACTTTGGATAGAGAAGGTAGAAGACTGATTGGGCGGTAAGAATCAGGACGTTCTATAGGCTTATTGGATTTGCGGATCATAGTTATGATTGAGTATTTCCATAAAATCGGAAAATGTGTCGTTCTGAGAATGGAATTGAATATGTTTGTTAAGAATATAATGGCCTTTTTTGGTAAATTCTTTAGAATATTGTTTGTTATGAGATCGAATTATGGATATTTCAAAAATAGCACATACAATTGAAGAAAGCAAAATGTAATCGAATCCGTCTGAGGGAAATAACAGTTACTGTAGTCAATTCTAGTGAAAACATTTTCAGAGATTGTGTAGGTTGATAAATAGAAGTTCCAATATAAAATTTATCAAATTCCACTACCGACTTTTTTTGGCGTGACTTTTTCTTTGAACAGGTTTATATAGTCCGTAGTACATTCCCTTTTTTATCAAATTATTATCACCCACCTAAAACTTCGTGAATGGCTTCATCTAATCGTAAGCTATAATTTTTTTATCTACGCAAATGTCATAAATGGATCGTTTCTCATTAAATTAATTAATTTAATGAGGTATTCAGAAAGTTGTCATTAAAGTTCTTGTATA